GTGGAAGGTAACGAAATAAGGAACAACAAAGACAAAGCTTTTCACCCAAAGGAAAAGATAGAATCAGTTCAAAGCCAATGTGCTTTCTGCCGTAGCTCCAAGAATCTTCAAAGATGTTCCAGATGTAATATAGCACAGTACTGCAACTCAGCCTGTCAGAAAAGACACTGGGAAAAACACAGAGCTTTGTGTTCTGCTCTAAAAGATCAGTATTCCGTGATCGTAGAGCCAAGAAAGCATTTGTCCTCTGAATACGGCATTAGAACATTTGGTCCTCATTTAAAAGGCATTGGAAAGGGGCCAAAGCCAGACCCGAAGAGCAAGCGAAGGTTCATCGTCAAAATCCAAACTGGGCAACTTAATAGTCATCCTCTTCAAAACCTAACTGTGTATGACAAGAGTCTTTATATTGATGGTGTTATCCAAAGCCCTGAAATATATCACGTGATAATGGAGTGTGGTGTTCTTGGACAAATGCACAAATTCACCAGCAAAAAAGCCTATTTTTATGCAACGTTTGCCGACGGTGGAAGAAAGCTGAATATATACCTGGGAGAACTAGCTCCTTATAAAGAATGGTAATTCATTAGGTGTGTAGTATTAGACTAGGTTCTCCTTAATTTTGGGATTGATAAATTTGTCGTTCTTATCACAAGTAGGATTCCTAACGGCATAAATCAATTTTTTTTCAATCAATCCATTTTAATTGATTAAAAACTTTATTTGTCCACCGTAAACGGCTCAGTAAACTGATTTTCAAATATGCTGTGCTTTTGTGTTGATATTTTGCATTTTTCTCTTAGTATTAATCAATATAATAGTGTTATTTATTGATATAAATTAGCTTAGCTTAGTATAGTTATCTTTTTGTAATTAAAATTACAAAAAAGAACTATACAAACAATAATAATAATAATCATCATCATCATCATCATCATCATCGCGAACTTTTGGTGGAAGAAGGCGCGCGCCGTTCATGGTGTGCAGGCTAGTAGCTTCCAGGCCACTGCGCAAAACGATCATGATTTCCCTTTATGGTTTTCTGGAGGAAAGAGTTTGATACCGAAGCCAGGTGAATTTACTAGTGATAATCAGCGCCCAAATACCTGCCTAAACACGGTATACAAGTGGTACACATCATGTTGCCTTGTCGATGCAAATCGACACCTCAGGAAATATGGTCTGATGCAACAAGAACAGCGCGGCAAAGGAAAAGTGTAGTGGAACTGTAGATAACTTGCTTATCGATCGAATGGTCTGTCAGGACACGCAGAGAGCAGGAGAAATCTGAGCATGGGTGGACGTGGCAAAAGCACCGGTGGCTCAAAGAAATGTTTAGCCTACACAGATTTCCAGAATGGTTTGGCAGAGTTATGGTGAGACTCGTTGCAAGCTGGAACACTAGGATAGTATCTGAGACTTTGCAGGGTCGAGAGGCTTCAAAGTTAATCCATTTCAAGAAAGGTCTAACACAGGGGGATGCTCTCTGCCCGACTCTGTTTACGCTCTGCTTAAATCCGGTGGCGCTGAAAATGAGAGCAACTGAGGAGTATAAGTTATCGAAGCCGATATCCTTCAAAGTAACACACTTACTATACATAGATGATCTAAAGGTTTTTGCGTCATCGGAGAGAAAGCTGGAGAGAGTTATGAAATCGGTTAAGGATGGAATGGAGTGTATTGGACTAAAGTGGAACGGGAACAAGTGTGCTGTCGCGCATGTCAAGAGTGGATGCTTGGATCGGATGCATTGGAAGTCTGAAGGTAGATGAACTCAAACCGATCAAAAGGCCTGGGAGAGGACAACACCTACAAGTTCTTGGGAGTGTTAGAGAACACCAAGCATGAGGATAAATTAGCCCTAGAAAGTGCTGCGAGGGCATACTTACAGAGGTTATCAATCATCAGGTCTAGTCCTCTGTCAGACCATCTTAAGGTTATGGCCTCTAGCCAGTATGCACTATCAGTGTTATCATATCTGATGTGGACGCAGACTTGGCCTTTGGCGGACCTCCAGCAACTGGATAGAGAGGCGAGAAAAGTCATCATGGAAAGCGGTGGGAATCACCCCCAGGGATCAACCGCAGTTCTGTATCTATCAAGGAGGAACGGCGGAAGGGGCATGCGATACGAGAACATTAAGATCAAAGCAGCTGTGAAGCTCTATTCTGACCCATCGATGGCAGCGGTGAGAAGCTTCGAGGAAAAGATGGCGCAGTCAGGGCACCTCTCGTTTGTCACTGACCCCATGAAGTACGCACAAGAACAAGGGCTACAACGGCATCTAGTCTATCCAGAACCTGTTATCATCGAGGACGGGGTAGAAGTACGAAGGGCAAAGGTAAAGACTCTTGCAAAGACACAGCAGCAAGAAGTTCGGGCGAATATTGAGGATGCGAAATGGCAGGGTAAGCTCTTTAAGAGTAGGTGGGAGGATGAGGAACTTAACAAGGAAGATTGTTTTGCTTGGCTCCACCTTTGGAAAAACGCGCCTATGCAAACCGTAGTAGGTGTGCAAGAGTTAATATCAGCAGCAGCTTCCAACAAAGCTTTTCTATCATTGTCAGTTGAGATGAGAAGTGTCCATTATACCCTATCCCGGACAAAATGTCAAAAAATGATACCCTACCCCAGACCCAAAAGCCGAAAAACCATACCCTATGGTAATCGAAGCCAAATCAACCTGTGCTTGCCAGTCCTGACTAAGTTTTGCTTTTTCTTTCAGGATTTCGACTGAACCGTACTTAGATAAAATTTGCTCTTTTAAATTAAAGTTCATGTCCAAGTCACGACAGTAGTATAGGGGATGGGGGTATCAGCGCAGTTGACGACTCGGTGATTGCCTGTCTATATATGGAGTGCGAAGGATGTGGTAGAACTTTTAAGAGAGAAGCAGATTTGAAGAAGCATTTAAAGAAGAAGACAAAATGTATGAGCAGCTATGATTGTACGTGTGGTAATTCTTTTCCTACTTACCACAACAAATATACTTATTTGGCTTAGTAGGTTTGAATCTGGGCTTAAGACACTTCACACACATATCATAAACAATGAACTCTTTAYATCCTTCGCACTCCATATGTAGACACACATATATTTACACGATGCGCTGTAACCCCCACGGGTAATACCCGTACTTTACGACTTACGCTAGCTGTGACACGGACAATACCTATGTCCCCTTTTGAACCACCACTTAACGCGGGTAATACCCGGACTACCCTAAGTTGACGCGGGCAATCACCGAGTCGTCAACTGCTCTGATACCCCCATCCCCTATACTACTCACGACCAGCAATCGAATTCAAAGTCTTTTTACCGAATTCTGAAATTCCTGTTTCCTCGTAACGAAATGTCATGCCTTTGTAGATACAAATAACAAAGGGTTTACAGGAGCATACTTCGCTACTAGTAGTTAGCCATTACAGTTTCTGACATCATAGTTAACAGAGGGAGATTACTAAGATAACATGAAGGGGCATAAATGATGTATATCGAACTTCTATTGGAATTCTGAAACACTCGTTTTTTTTGACATGAACATACTTCATTTGATGTTTAACTAGCATATGCACTCATATAATTCTTCACAACATATAACAAAAAGATTACCCCACAAAGTATCTATGTCTCTTGTTTCCAGTCTAGCGCGGCTTAGTTTCTTGGAAAACAGCAGGGTCCTGTGTTTTCTCAGAACATATTTTCTCTGAAGTCTTGCTAGTTGAATAATGAAAGCTTTACGAAACAAGAATACAGGTAAGAGATAAAAGATAGATGGATAATGATGGCCTATTACAAGATTTAGGTTTGTGAAGAGGACAACAACAACTTACTACTTTAGTCTAGCTCGCAGCAGATTCATAAATACGGAGACAGCTGATAACCCAGACGTGAGTTAGAGCGAACGACTAACTTAATGCTTTACTTTCTTAGAGAAGGTCTTCTGATCAGCAGTAGCTTTAGTTATAACAACAATAAATACAAATATGATGGAACAATTATTACACACCCCCATGTGTACTTGTTTGAATGTAATGAACATTCAAATATCAAAATATGGCAATTCCATTGAGACACAAATGGTCTCTTGTGTACTGTATTTGTCTTCGTGTGACTATAAAATGATCTGGTTGAGTGATTTTGTCAATATCAACTTTGTTTTTATGTCATGGTTTTACTGCATGTCCTCTATATTTTTAAGGTTATTTTGATAATTTAATATAAGTTAACATTCATATTCATATTGCACTTACTATAGTAATTTTTTAAAAAAAACATATTCTTAATAATTTTTGAATTCAATTTTTTTTCCTTTTTTCTTTTTGATTTTTCTTTTTTGAATCTTAATTTTAAAACTGTTTTCTTACAGAAATGTGTTAGAAGGTCAACAAACAAACAATGGCAGGGACTGGATCAGCAAGCACCAAAATTTTTCTCCCTTCAACACTTACTCCTCCAACTCCTACACCTAAGACCATTCCTAAGCCAGCAGGAGCACCAGGTTAGTGACATCAATGCAAACAGCTACACCTTAGTGGTAATGTTGCTTATATAAATTATATATTGCATTATATTGCACTATGCATAAACTTTGAACCTTTATATATACACCTACTTGCAAGAAGGTTGTCATACAAGAATAGAACATTAGTAATTTAGTGAGAAAGGAATTCATTAAAAGACAAAAGAAAAAGTTCAGCTTCAGTGATCGTCTTTTTTTTTTAAATATAATTGCTATTCAACTGAATCACTAATGTTCTATTTTCGTATGACAACGTTCTTGCAAGTAGGTGTATATATGTACAAGTATATCCAAGTTATTAAACCATAAATATATCGAAAACAAATTTTATGATAATAAAGTCCTCAAGGAAAAAAGACGCCTCAGTAAATATAAGAGTCAAAAGTATGCCTAGTGTGTTTGATTGCATGTTTAAATATGCCAATAATGTCCATAATTACAAATACAAGATATGCAAGCAACCAAAATCTTTATAAATTAAAAGTGAGAACAAATATAGACAAATAAACAATCTCATTTATGGCAATAAATCTATGGAAAGACCTACCAGCTTATCTCAAATCTTTAAGTACATTTTCCTTTTCAAAACAAGTGAAAGACTTTCTTCT